AACATCAGCCACACTAAGGAGACGAGCCACAGAGACCACAATATGTGGCAGCACTTCTCTGCACCTGTCTGCTGCACAACGTGTTTGACACTCATGCACTGTCAGAGCAGCAGTGGCTGCTGTGCACAGGATGCACCTTCCCAGCCCTCTGCAGCAGCCCCTGTCACACTCTCATTGTGCTCAGAGTGGCACTTGCTGCAGAGAAGTGACTGCTGGTGCTCTGCTCACTCTCACATCCTCTGGGTTTGCATGGGAAAGCAGCAAAGCCAATCTGATTTTTTACACTGCAGCAGGGTGCTGAGTCCTGCCACCAAGCAGCAAATGAGATGAATTTCATAAAAGTGTCCCTGTGCTCACCAAAGACTGGATAGACCATACTGAGATTTGCCAGCAGCTACCAAGGAAAAGAAACAGAGAAGAACTATGACATGACCCTTCACAGAATAACATCTGAAACTTCTGACACTGAACTCAAAGCATGCCAAAACATCTATGGAAGAGGAAATAACCTGGAAGTGGGATTAAATCTCTTTTGGTACCTCATTTTATTCTTGAGTGTGAGAAAGAAGCCTTCTTATTTTTTCATCACGATTGTATTTTACTAAAACTTAAATACACTTTTTGGTAACTTTCCCAGACCAAAAAAAAAAAAAAAAAGTTAATGCAAATTTTGGCATGGTCTTCACATGACTGCTCTATAACAGGGTGAGTTCCAGCAGCTTTATAATCCTACTCACCAGAGGCACAAATATTACCTCTAAAATGTCTGAAGCACAGATGGTCCCCCTTACATTTCACAATCACGGAAGGAAGGATGTGCATGTCGCCTACAGAAAGAAGTGCTGGAGTTATTTGTCTCAGAAATGAAGACTGTGAGGAAATATGGGAACAGACTACCACGTGGAACGTGCTCTAAGGAGAGAGACAGCTGTTCTCCACCTCAGAACACCTCAGAAGTGCTCAGCTTTAGCCACAGCAAAGCTGCCATGACAAAAGAAAACTTTCTAGCAGATAGAAGCACAAAGCACCAGGACAGATTGTGTGCTAAAGTCCTTACCAGCAATGGGAGCCTCTGGGTCAGGCTGGGCACACATTTATCAGGAATGATGTAAGGCAAGTTGATGCTTACTTGGATGGGGAAATTGGGCTACATGACAGTCAAGCTTCCTTCCAAGCTATTTTCATCTGTGGCCCTACCTGAGGAACTGAGTGCTGGCCAGTAATCCACACACAGAGGTGTGGACCCCAGAGATGCCCTGTGTCACCCTAATGCAGTTCCCCTGTGTCTGTCAGTTCCTCTCATGGAAAGCAGTCTCAGCCCTACAAGAGCACAGGCTCAGCAGAGAACACTGTTAGACAAATGTTTGTCTCTAAGCTCCCTGCAAAGTCACTTTCACCCCATATCTCAGGTGGAGACTGAAAGCATGGTCAGCTGCTTGCACTTTGGGGTGCTCACATGGACATTAACACCAGAACAAAAATGGGATCTATCTCTGACCTCCAGCCCTAGGGGGGCTTTGGGTGTCCCATTCACAGCAGGAGGTACAACCCCACTGCCATGTCACAGCTGAGTCCTCTTCCAGCCTCCCAACACAAGCCCACTGTGGAAGTTCTGTTTCCCCAGCACAGGAATCGAGCCTAAAGCCCCGTTTGCAGCTGCACCTACACTGCAGCCCTCTGCCGACCCCAGTTCTCGCTCTCCCTGGACCTGCACCTTGCCCAAAGCGGGAAGGCTGAGGCAGGAGTGTCTGCAGCAGGGACACAGCTAAACTGGGACCGCAGCTCCATCTGCAGGGCTCTGCCAAAGCGGCTCCTCCTCGGGGAAGGGCAGTGTCACCCCAGCAGACACTGCACGCCCACCAACCCCCAAAACACAGATGTGAGCACAAACACAACCAGGCTCCTCAGGGTCCTGAAAGCAAGCAAAGCCCCCCTCTGACAGCATCACCTCGGGAATCAAATCACCATTTGGATACAGTTCCCAAGACCCAGTAAATCCCCAGAAAATTCAATGTATGTTAGATACTGGATGATGCAGAATGCTGAGTGAAGCCTCAGCCTTTGTGGCTCCGGGGAGCAGCTCACGTGCCTGGGGCTCTGCCAGTGTCAGCTCAGCCTCCTGCCCTCAGGGAACACAAACAGGGCCCGGGGCTCCAAAGCCAGGCTCCTTAAAACCTCCAAAGCACTTTCCAGTGCTTCTGTACCAAAAGGAGCCCAGGCCAATCCATGTAAAGCAGAGGAACACACTGTACTACACCAGCACACTCCCTCGGATGCAAGTCCGACAGGAACATCCAGCCTCCTGGGAGGAACAGCAATTTTTCCTTTTATGAAAAGGTCAGCAGTATCATGTGATTTTCCAAGATATATAACCAGTATGCAATGCAAATACATAGAAGTGCAAATGTTTTAGTGGCAAGTATAGGAATTTAACACTTGTCCTACTGGATTAGACCAATAGCCTGTCTTGCAGGGGATTTGTCCTGCTCAGGGCTCGGATGAGGGATTGACTGGTGCTCCCAAGAAAAAGCACACTGCCTTCTGCAGTCCAGCCACTGGCACTGTTAGAGGGCCACCTAACACCTGTCTGCTGCAGGGAGCCAGCCCATCCTCTAAAGAATACAGCATGATGCTGTTTAACATCCCCATCAGCCCATGCACTACCCAACTTTTAAGGCCTCCTACAGAAGCAGGCTGTGTATAATGCTCTGTTTCATACACAAACACTGCTAACACCCAAAAGAAATCTGAGAACTCATTTCTTGAAATTTAATTTTTAAACAGAGTCTGACAAACTGAACTTAATGCCCCTAGATTACTATTAAAAAAAATCCACAACCACACAAAACACCCTTTGACTGTACTTTGTACCCATGGCTTTAGGAGGCCTGAAATCAGCTGTACTGAAATTGTATTTTCAAATCTGTGTTCACGTGCACTTTACCTGATCTATTTTTGTTCCCTCCTTCCCTAGATTTCCTCTACTGTGTTTAACCAGGGCAGGTAACACAGGCCAGAGAAGACTCACAAATTCAAGTAAAGAGTGTAAAGGACACGGTAAACTACTGGAGTGTACAAATGTAATGTGAGATGTACAGTGGGTGAAAGGCAAGGCTGTGAGTGGGGAAAGGTTCCACATGGACCCAAGTGCTGGTTCTCAGAGAGAGCTCAGGTGTCTGTGGGAAAGCAGGGCCAATGTTCAGGAGTGAAGGGGATGGAGAAAACTCATCTGAGGAGAGAGAGTGTGGGAGAGGCAGAGGGGAAAGGGGACAGATGTACCTGTGAACCTGCTGCAGCCTTCCAACAGACTCAGTTTGCTGCTGCACATCCTGCCTGATACTTCTGGCTGTCCGGGCCAGCCTGGACAGAGCCTGAGAGCTCCTCCCTGGCACACACACACAGCAGGACCTTGTCTGGAGGCTCCCACCCCTCCTGAGTGCTCACCTGCACTGGCCCAGCAACTGCTTCTATCTCGACTGGCAGACCAGCCCCTTTCCTTGGCTTGCTTTCCTTCCTTCTCTGGCTAGCTGTAGTCCAGAAGGGAACCTTCACCACTGGAAACAGCAGCAACAGCAAGTAGCAGCTTGAATTTAATGCTGCCATTATTTACACTGACATGATGTTGACTGTCCACTTTAGGGACTTCTCTCAGTGCTGTTTCAGGCAGCCCTAGTCTGAGTCATCCTTCCCAAAGAGACAGGCCTCAGCTACTCCCACGCCTGTCAAGAGACTGGGTCCTACTCCAAACTCAGCTTGTCAAACTTTGTGCAGGTCATTTCACCTCCTGTTTTTCAACTTCTCCATCTGCAAAAGCAGAGTAGTGACACTGGTCTCTCTTAGAAGTGTTGCAATTAAATGCCTCATGTGGAATTTAGGCATTTCTGTTACTGTCAGAGCAATGTGTGGATGCCAGCATCTCTGAATAGTTGCAGTGAAATTCTTTTAAGGACCCTGGTCTGGACCACTGTCTTTATTAAAATGCATTGACCATTTCTGGCAGCATCCACCAAATGTCAAGGGCTGTAAATTCAGGTGCTGTAACATGTGCACTGATCCTTCAGGGATAATCACTCAGCAGGAGTAGGAAACAAAGGCTGCTTTGCTATTGGAGCATCGGGACCCTGGTACAGAACTGCATTTGAAACGTGCACAACAGTTATGTCCTGTTATACCTGCAAATCCATGTGCCAGTATAAGCCAGGATTTGAGCTTATCACCCCATCTGGTCACATTTTATATAAATGCAACTCAAGGCCAATTAAAAAAATATAATTAAATTCTTTCTAGGCCAAATGGGTGATTTGGCACGTTGAGAAGTTGTATTTTTAATCTGGAGCTGTGAACTCTTCTATCTTAGGTCCTGAGATGATTGAGTCACTTTAGCAGAGCAGACTAAAATGTTTCATGCAGTTCCCTGAGGAAGGTGAAACACTTCCATATGCTCAGCTGAACTTCGGCATCTCTGGATGAGGTCTGTGTCAGGATATGAGGGGTCTGTCACTGCATGAAAAGTCCAGCACTCTGGGGAATGGAATTCCTTTCACAAGGCAGAAGGAGTTTTCAACCAGCTGTTCAGCTGGGCTCCAGAGCAAAAAGCATCCTGCAAGGACAGTTACATCTGACACAGTTGTCTGCTGCTTTGTTTCTGTATGTGCAGAAATCTAGGCCTGTGGAAAAAAGAAAGATCAGATCTTTAAGTCTCACTAGGGACAATATGCCTCTACCTCCATCCTATAAAAGCAGTAACTTTCCAATGGCAATCACTCCACCAGAGCCAGTCACCCCATCAGAAATGCTCAGCTGGGTCAGAATTTCTGATTCAAACACTTGCCAGGCTGTTTCAGGATATCAGAAGGCTGAGATACAACCAGGGAGCACCTATTTTGTCAAAGACTGGCTTCAGCTGTGAAGCTGCTCTGAGTTCACTCAGTACATAACAGTGCAGGGACATATTCTTCAAAGGATACAAAACCTCCAAAAATGCAAAGTCAAAAAAATATTTACTTGCCACAGAAGTCCTTGTGAATGGCACGGAGGGTGAGCAGTAATTCTGGGTGTGCCTGTAGCCACTGCTCCACCATATTTGGATGCCTGGGATCAACTTCCAGAAACACACTCCTGAAAAGACACATTTGGGAATAGAATTGGAGAAATGCACATTTAGGTTGCTAAAGTGATAAAAATGAAGATCTTTCTTTCTGTATGACTCTGAGCAGATGCAGGAAATGAAAAGGTCAGTAAACACAGTGCAATCCAACAACCCTAAACCAGATCATAGCTGTCCACATAAGATGCAGATCCCAGCTGCCTCCTTCAGGGGAGAAAGTACTGATCCTGGGAGGAATTCTCATAGTACTCTGTGTGAGCAGTTAAAGCCCTCTATCGAGATGTAATGAGTCCTTCTGAAGCTCACCCAGAGATACCACCAGCAATGTGTTTCTGAAACCCCCCAAAGATTTAAAGGCAGAAGGCAGTTTTTATGCTGCAGGAGCTGACCACTGAGCACTGGCCTGGCAGCCTGAAGTCCCTCTGTGTATAAGCAGCAACAGACATGAAATACAAGTCAGAACACACATTCTTCCACAGTAAATGTCTCCATAAATCAGTTATGAAAACAACACTAGAATTCAAGCCTACATAGAACTGATCAAATAACCTCTGTTAGGGCACCAGGACCAGGCCTGGGCACTGCAGGGCTATTTCCATCTCTGCCAGGCTTTATGACACTGGCTCATTCCCATGTTCCCTCCCGTGACAAAGCAGAACCACCCCAGCTCACAGGCATGGGGAGTGATGGAGCTGGTTATGGCCTGGGACACAGCAAGAGACATGTTTAGCAGGCTAAGGACACAAGCCAAACCCCATCAAATGCTCTCCTGAGAACTCTTAAAACATCCCACACTGAATACTCCCTACAAATTCACCAGGCTAACTACAAGTTGGGTGTGGATCTCATTCCTGACCTTAAAAAACTTCCACTCCTCAATGGGGGCTTGATCTTATTAAACAAGCAAAAAGAGAAGGAAAAGAAATAGCCTTAAGAAACAACCCCAAAGGACCAGTCTCTAATGCTGGGAAATTCTGAGGAGCATCTTCTGCTTGTGGTCATGCAAAGCATGAGGAATGAATTCTGCATGCACTATGCCTCCCAATATTCCCATTCTTCTTCTCAAAAAAGCAGATTTTCAACAACCATTCTTATGGTGGCCAAATGTCATGAATATTCAAAAGGATGTGTGAATGCCCTGGCACATGAACAGTACACTCAGACTTTTGGGTATCAGCATGTTAATCTTCAAAATGGATCCTGTGTGATAGAGAATAGGAACAATCAATCTTGAATATTAATCATGGAGAAATTAAACATTTAAGAAACTATCCCTGACTGATCTTCTTTTTCCTGGGATATTCAGCATTATATACTGGTACAACAAAGAAGTTTCTCCTAATGAAAGGGTGGGAGGGAAGTGGAGATGTACACCCACCCTCAAAGAGTTCTCCATTGCTTCTCCTTCCATCAGTTGCTCACCTTAGAAAGCTCCCCTGCCTTCTGCATTCTTCTTGGCTGCTCTCTTCCATGTTCTTTTTGTTACTGCTTTCACCTTCAAAGATTCTCACTTCACTAATGACCAGGAAATGCCACCAACAGCCAAGGAAAGGGCCCACACCACTTTATTAACCAATTTCAAGCTAATTTTGTTTACGCATATGACATTTTAAAAACTGCTGTTATTAACAGGGGCAATGAGGGGACAATTTGGCAACTACTTTCCCTCTGTTTTGTTTTCATACAGGGAAGAACAGAATTTACAGAAGTGGATGGATAAAAGATATGAAATTCAAAAGACTGTAGCACTTACCCAGAAACCTTCAGAAGAGAAGGAGCCAAAGCCAGAATTGTTTTGATGACTCTCATGCCATCATCTCCCCCATCCAGGGCATCAAGGTCCTCATAGCTGGAGTGTGGGAAGAAAAAGACATTTGACAGCAATTCCTGTGGTCTTTGAGAATGCATCACCCCACAAAGAAAGGTGCACATGACACACTCGGAACTCCAGAGCAGGGGACAGCACTCACCCCTTATATGGGAAATACAGGGAGGGAAAAGCTACCACAGGGCTGAGAAATCCCACATTCAGCACAAGGAGAAATCACCCCCTGAAGTATTTCTGAAAATTAGGAGCCAACTGTAGCTGGGATCTCACAGTTCCAACACATAGGTTTGTTCTCTCTAAGCTGGCCAGAGAGCAAAGGTGCTGTACAGCAAGGGCTTGATTGATCTATGCCAAACACCAGCTCAGGCTGTGGCTAACTCAGCAGAGCCAGCTGAGGTGCAGAAAACTCAGCTGCCAGAACCTGCTCTGGTGCACATCTTGCACAGAGGTGGGGGCAGGACTTTCTTCTCACATGCATGACAGTCAGTTTTGGATTGGGAACTTGCTAATTTCAGTGTACTTTTTCTATTTTAATAAATCTTTAAAACATTTCCATGTTGTTTCAGGCCTGTAAGCAGTATCAAAGCAAGCCTGTATTATTATATCCCAAATAAACACACCTATATTTTGTATGTGTATATTACATTTGCATGTTTTGTGTGCAACTCTGTGTAGTACAAGGAAGCAGACAGAAAACCTTGCTTCAAGGAACAGGAGAGGAAAAATCTCTTTGTTTTATTACCAGAGGATTTCTGCATCCAAGGAAGCCATGTCTTCATGGAAAACATATGGGGGGTTACTGACTATGACATCTATGGGGCCCCAGAGCAGCAGCTGTTTGGCAGAACCTAGAAAAGAAAAAGAATCACAAGCAGCTCTCAACCACAGCATCTTCCCTATAAGATCAGTGTGAAGACCCTCCCCAGGAAACTGTCTCCGGGCACATGTAAATGTCTTTGGCTCTGCTTTGCGATCACAAAATTTTATTCTATTTCTTTCTGCAATAGCGTGCCTTGTTCCCTGTCCCAAGAGTGCAAGAGTGATACAAAGGAAAGCACAGATGAAGTATCATTTTTTCATATCAAGAGCCTGCTTAACAAAACATGTTAAAAAGCACAGGAGCTTGATGCCCTGGAGCTCTGTGCCCACCTGGATCTAATGCAACAAGCAGAACTCAGAGAGCCCACAAAGGCCTATATGGGAGCTCAGACTGGCTGTGCAGATGAACATCCTTCCTTACAGAGCTTACAGAGCTGCAGCAGGACCTCCAATGAGCTGCAGAGCCAGGGCCCCTCAGCAAAAACAACAGTGGGCTGCTCTTCTGCAGACCAGGAGCAGCTCCCTACACTCATGCTGCTGTCTGACACAGGCCAGCCCTGAATCAGACCTCATGGAACCACGTGAGTGTGGCACTGTCCTCAGGCAGCCTCTTGGCACAGGGCTTTCAGCTCTAAGAGGTAGCACAGAGTCAAAAACAAGTGTCAGAAAGTTGTGCTAATGAACCCACAGTGGTGCAGCTCCTGGATCCACAGCTGCTAACAAACAGCCAAACACTACTAACCTAACTGGAGAGGCCCCACCAAATGCTAGTTTTAACTGGTTTCAACTGGCTCTGGGGAAGAAAAGCATCATTTCCTGGTTCAACTAACATAATTTCAGGTAAATACAGTTGGGCATTTAATCTAAGCTAAATATATGGGCTCCCTCTACCATCAATGGACAGACAGGCGTGGACATGTTTATCTAAAGCCTTCATGTCAGCATGGAATGAATTACACTCTTTATATATTTGTCTCTCCCCAGCAACAGTAAAGGACGCCTGGACTCCCAGCTCAGATACAGCCTTGGGACACCTAAACTCAGGAACAATTTATTTTCTGATACAATTAGAGACTTCTGTCAGTTGATCATCTGCCCTGGAAATCTCTGCAGAGACAAGCTTCACTGGCTCACTTCTTACTGACCTTTTCTCTATTAACTTCAATACTCTTCTGCTGCCTGCATTCCAGAATGGTCCCTTGGCTGTCTCTCATGCCTCCCTCCACCCATCAAAGACAAAAAGGGAAAAAGATAAAGGGGATTATAACAGAGAAAAGAGTTACTGTGTGAAACATCTTGGTGGATGATGCGAATCCTTTCTTGGAGTTGCAGCCTGTAAAATTCCAGATTCAACAACAGAAAGAAGAAAGATTAGGGGTGTATTTGTGTTCATGAACAGTACATTCTACAAACAGATAATTAAATATTGCACCTCTTATCTGATACACATATATTCACAACTGCCAAGACCTTCCCAGCACATTCTCTCCTCCACCAGTGGCCTTACACCCAAGTTCTACTCCCTTTGCTGAAGGCTGTGGTCCTGCCCTATCAGAATACACAGGCATCAGGAAAGGGAGGGATTCCTGCACTGTGTGCCATGTGCCCAGATGGATCTGGCACTGGGCTTGATCCACTAGGACTCAGCCAAGCATCTAGAGAACACAGCTGGGATAAGGGAGCTCTGAAAACAGGCAGGATCTAAGCTGGGCTCAGTCAGGCAGTAACACAGCTTATCCTGCTGGCTTCTCTCCCAAGAACTACAGGGCACCATGCCAGGGACAAGATCACAAAGACACAATGAAAATACCCATGGAGAAATATGAAGCTCTCTGACATGACATTTATACTCCCTCATCCACACTTGAGCCAACAAGCAATGTTAATAAGCAAGACAATCTTCCCCAGAGGCCAGAGTTATTATCAAGGAGACAAAGATCTGTCCAGCTTTTATTTTATCTATGAAAAATTGCAACAGAATTTGGTTTGACACATTAGGAGGAAACCTCTGCTCCCCATTCTTTGTAACTGGGATAGGAGGCAAAGGGTAACAGTGAGGTGACCAGTTTGGGAAGGGCTTGCTCCTACTCAGCTCTTCAGACTCACACACAAGCTGGGACTTGAAAGAAGTAAAGAAATGCAGCCCAGTGCAGCCAGCACGAGAAGTAGACCCCCAGTGCTGGCAGCAGCTTGGGAGAAGAGGGGTATGTGGGCCTGTGGACAGAAATCCCAGTTAATGAGCACTTCTTGAGATGCACAGCTGTACTGGACTCCCTGAGAAATAGCAATAGGAATTCTTTCTGAAATGACTCTAATTAATGCCTAGGGCCCAGCAGTTACTGAGGATGTGAATGCAATCTGAAGCTCATTTGACAAAGTCTACAGAGACTCAGAAGCATACTGGGATTCCAGTTCTGGGGCTCCCTGTGATAGTGATGGTCCAGAACAACCTGACAGAAGAAGCAGCTGAGGAAGTGGAGCCTCTAGGAAGGTCAAGGACAACCTGACAGACACTCTCTGACTTCAGCACAAGATGTTTAAGCCAGCAGCTCTAAACATCCATGCTGCCACAGCACAGGTGTCTGAACTGCATGGGATCCAGCAACACCATTCCCATCAAACCAAGACAGCAGGAAGGATGCTGAGGGACACCATGCAGCACATCAGAGGAAAAGTGCTACTTGACTGTGCAAGCATTTCTGGAGGAGCAAGGACAGAAACAAGCACAGCAATAATGACTGAGGGAGCCAGAGAGAGAAAGGCTCAGGGTATACTCGTCCTTAACCACCTAAATGACATAAACATTACTATTTCAGTCCTGAGCTTCCTGAGCTCACAGACAAGGGTAAGAGTAGTTACCAAAAAACACTCTGAAAACCCTTGACAAACACCATGTGAGTACCACTGCTTTATTTAGGCTGCTGTCTTTGCAAAGCACATTCACAAACCAAAGAAAAACACTCCTGTAAACATAAGCTTTTTTTTTTCTGAATTGTTACACACTTTAGGAGCTCAACAACTAAACAGACTCTGGTTTCCAGTGGTGATAAACATGATACACATGTACAAGTATTGATGACTCTTAGTCTTTCTCAAACAACAATTTACAAAAAAAAAAAGAGTAATAAGTGGTCTTGTACCTATGTGCATTCTCCCTGGTGAGATCCACAGCAGCCTCCTCTTTGTCCATGGCTATGACTCTGCTCTGGAACAGAAAAAAACAACAAACCCCACCAAGCAGGTGTTATCAAGATTCCTGAGCAGACATGTTCTGCCATACATACAAGATCAAAACTGACAAGAGGTTGCTCACTCTTGGCTCTTGAAAGGAACAGCTCCTGAGGAATGCATGCAGGGCATAGCTGGGATCATGAGTGATGTGTGTAAAGCACTAAGGTGACTGAAGGCTCTCTGCAGCCCACCAGAACAGACAACAACAGAGCCACAGTGACTCACCTCACTGACACCTCACTGCTCCTGGCAGGGTGAGACTCAACACTCTGGCTAGTCTGGGCTAGGCACGGGCTGCAGGAAGGTCATGTTGTTGGATTCATCCTTCCTAGCACAGACAGGATCCCTCCTGACACTAACACAACCACTTGGACACAGATTCTGGCATTATCCATCTGTTATGCAGACACCTTTTACCCAATTACTCCCACTGCAGTCCTTAGACAGATTCACTGCCTGTATTGACTGCATGTACTTGACTGTGTGTCAGGTATTTAAAAGTTCTCCAGCATAATGGTAAGAGACAGGGGTCCACAAATGTTTGTTTGACCTTGTTTAACCTTGGGGAAACCACAGACAAAGGCCTAGCTTGATTTTGCTATGCTTGATGTTTATTTAAGCAGAGATGTTGACAGGATTTACACAGAGGACACATGCTTGAAGAAGCTGCTTTGCATTTGGAGATGACAGTATGATTTGCCATCACTCCTAAGGGGATTAATTTCATGGTCCCAGGCCAGCACCCACACACATGAAGCTCACCCTTAAGGTGAAGGACACAGCAGAGACCATAAATGAAAAACTGTTCCTGTTTTCTCAGTACCTTAGTGCCAAATTCTGCCTCAAACACTAAGGAGATTACCCAGACTGTAACTCCACTTAGCTGTCAGGGTGGCTACCACTAATTCTAATCAGTCAAGGCTCCTTATTTCCCTGGGTACAGCAGATTGGGCTGGGAAAGGACTGTCATGAGTTACAGACTGACACAGCTCTTTAAATTAACAAGCAAGGAAAAGAGCATGAAGCTCTTCTCCTAGCTCAGGAAATCAGAACAATTATACTGTGAAGTCATGAAGCTCAAATATTAACCTTCTCAGGGCACTAGGAGGAGGAACACCCCTTCCATTAGAGGTATCAACCTCTAATTCTTACACAGCAGGGCTTATACTTCTACAAGAGGAGGGGCTGGCCACAGCAATTCTCATTCCTGAGAAGGAGCTGGCTGGTCTGCAGTTCTGAGGATAGGGGGATATTTTTCCCTTGACCACAGGCAATGAGATCTTGGATTAATTTCTCATCATCTTGACCAAGAGTATCTCCATAAACATGTTACACACCACAAAAATCAGGGGCAAGAAGGGCTTTGGTCACCCAGATCTCAGTACCTTCCTGCTCTTTTGGCTCTCTTCAGAAGCTGTGGGTTGTTACTAGGGAACAGAAGATTACAAAAACATGGTTTGGCAGTTGTGGCAGTGAGATTTGCTTGTCTTACTGATCCCAAGTACTGACACTGCTACGGTAATCCCTTTCCTGTATCATTTAGTCTTCAATTTTCTAGAGACAAGATCTTTTGATTCATAACAAGGTAGTTTTTAGAGATGACTACCCCATAAATTCATCTAATAGAGTGTGTGCCCATGCCTCAGTCCTTCCTGTCCTCAGTCCAGGTTCGTATCTTAAACCAATAGCCACCAGTGCTTCAAGGTAAGGTGATTATTAGTGAGCTGCAGCAGCTCAAGAATGGGCACATTCACTTCTTTCATTCTGGTATTGCCTCTGCTACTCCTGCAGACAGATGGGGAGATGGAGCAATTCCCAAATATCCCTCCTCTACCTACTAGGAATTTACAGAGCCGGTCACAGACCTGAGCTGCCGAAGTTCCTTCAGAGAAGTTTGTGACATCTCAATGAAAATGAGCAGAGTGGGACTGTCCTCTAACACAAGCATTTATTGCACCAGGAGCACTGAAGGGAGCTCACCTGTGGCAGTTTACAAAGCAGACTCAGAGCAATTGCTCCAGAACCACAGCCAATTTCCAGGATCACAGGATGAGGAACAGGAGCTGGGAAACAGAGGGTTGAATTCTTACATTTTTGAAATTCTTCCTCCACAACTAAAGAGACAAGGTCCTAAGAAGACAAACAAACAAAATTACTAAGGGAGCTGTTTTGACTCACACCTTTGTGATCTGAAGACTGAAGTTTTAGTTTTTTGACTCTGAACCCAATGCAATGTATTTTTGTTGCTAATTTAAAAACCACAGATGATAATAATGGAACTGACATGCCAGAAGTCACTTCATCTGCCCCACAGGGTGCTTTGATTAGTGACCAAATTATCAGGATACAATCTCCCACAGATCCTCTGAAATCTTCTAGCACTGTTGGGAAAAACAATAACCAGACAGCTGGAGCACATTTACTCCAAAATTTTGGCTTTCAGAATTTGTAAGCTTCAAAATTCAAGATTTCTACACAGTCTCTGTATGGTAGGTGACCAGGAGGCAGCTGCACAGCTCCTGACAGTATACAAACCAGTAATCCAACCTGCAGATGAACAGTCAAGCCAATTAATGTTATTAAATGATCAAAATGAGTAATTCCCTGCATGGATTTCAAACTGTGGACTCCTACTACATTTTTGTTGCTATAAAGTCACATGGAAAAGATTTTCATCTATGCTCCTGGTTCTATATGCAGTTCTGCCATTTCTGCCTCCTCCCTCACGTCAGTCTTTTAAATCCCTTTGCCATGTTATATAAAATCCAATACAGCAGGAGAGGTCTCAAAGATTTCTAAGGTTTGTGAAAATGAGATAAAAGAGAAAGCACACATGTGCCTCCCTTTGACTGCAGCATGAACTTCCTTTGTTATTCACTGGAGAAAACTGTAAGATGGAAACCTTATGAGCACTTTGAGTCCATCAACAACTCAGCAGGTGCTCTCAGCTCCTTCCCATCCTTGTGCTTTCAGGGCACAACAGCACACACAGGCCTTCTGCCCTAGGTGTTCCCTAGGATTCTCTACTTGAGAGGGCTGCTCTTGGATCTCTCCTGTAAATCCAGAAAGCTTAACAAAATTTACAAAAAATAACTGGCATAAACTGGAATATTTAAAAGGAACAAGTCCTGGCAGGCAGGTCATCTTCTCTTTTACTTTACAATGGCTTTTGTTAGGAGCCTGAACTGGACAGACTTGTGCATAAGGGCAGAAGCCTCTCCTTGGATCTCTTACCATTACTGAGGGGCAGAAAAAGAGATGTCTTGTGCAAAGCTGCAGTACCTCTGAAGAGATTCATAGCTGTTGGTCATCCTCCATGACAGGCTACTTCCTATGTGCAGTAAGTGGGAAGGGAGATGCAAACAGGTACAAAAATGAAGCATTCAGGTAGATGAGCTTTGATGAACTATTCCTGGAGCAGGCAAGTTTGGGGTCTGATATCTAAATATACTCAGAGATATTTGGGATGAGGATTCTGGGAATCACAATGCCCTACCCTGGCCACCATGTCATTACTGGCATTGTCCTAATATAGGAGTTTTTCTAACAGCCTCCAAAATCACAAATTCCTCACTGATGCTCTGGGATTCCTTTCCTAGACAATTATGGATGAAAACAGTCTCACAGGCTCCAAACCTGGAGGAAACTATTACAGGACTCAGACAGCAAAAGGGAAAAATAAACACCTGATCTACCCATTTCTCTGAGAAGTGGCTTTGGCCATTCAAACAGCTACAGATGAATCAGCCTAAAAACACTCGGGCACTGCAGAGAGCTAGAGACTGCAACCACAGCTTGCTTTGGCAAAGCAGGTGAGGTGCTGAGGATTCCAAGACCACAGAAGAAAAGGCACACAAAAAATTCTGCTTGGCTATTAGATCACTTCTTTAAATACCAGCCATTTCTGGACACTTACAAACATTTCCTGGAAATCTCCACAGTAACTCAGAACCATCTGTTCCCAGAGTAGCACAAGTTACTGATTACAAAAGTCCAAATATGACTTCCACACACTAGAACTATTCTAACCATTTATTAACTTCCTTAAGGTTTCTCATTAGTAATTTCAAGCTTGATGGGTTTGAATGGAATGCCTACTTTACACATTCCACAGTGAAAACGTTTTAGTGTGCTTGCCAAAGCTCCCTTTTAAACTGATTTCAGGTTTTACCACATAAAATATAACTAAAATGGGACATTGATATTACTTAGACTTTGTGTCCTGCTTTCTGACTGCCTTACCTCATTGTTTTGGTTATTTAATTTCAATTCTTACTGAGGCAAAGGCTGGCTTTCTCATAATACACATTTACCATAATTGTGCAAAAGTAAAAGACATAAAAAATAATGGGACAACCTAAAGGAATGGCATAATTTTCCAGACATTAGTACCTCACTACAACAAAAGGTTGAATAATTATTTTCAACCTGATTGACCAGCAAAGAAGAAAGAGGCATTCTATCTGGCAAACAATCAGGAAAATCCAGCAACCGTTACACAGAGCATGTCCACTCATCCCACTCCCATTGCCACCAGGTTTCAGGAATGATTAAATTATCAAAAATTGTTTTGAAATCATATTCATCAGATTCTTCTCAGTATTTTTAATCCTTTAGCAAATGATCCAGCCAAAATCTGTACTTCTCCAATCACACCATCACCTCCAAAATATCACCACTGGAAATTGATAAATTACAGCACTTTGCAGAACACAGTAGAGCCCCTTTCAAATCTTATCTTGGAAGATGAAATATTTCTGGCTGAGTATTACAGTGTTCATACAAAGACTACAAAATAGACAAGTCAGACATTTCCAGCCTTTGCACAAGAATCTGACTGGAACCACAGAGAGGGAAAAGCAATAGAGAGGCTGATGGTGCTAAAAAGAGGTGCCTGGGACTGGCACAGAGAAAGTGGGACTGGGACAACTGCAACTGGCCAAAGGCTGGGGTCTTTACTGGGTAAGATAGCCCATGTCTTCTCAGACTGAACAGATTCAGAGCACAAATGCCTGCTAATGTAATGCCAACATCATCAAAAGCCATTTAAAACCATCAGTTTGATCACCAGCTTTGAAGGCTGAGATATGAAATTACAGAAATTCCACTGGGAAGTAAAAGAAAACACTTTGTGACCCAATTCCATATTTGCTCACAGCATGCCAATCACTGGGTAGAATGAACTCTCAATTGTGGACTTATTAACAATGAAATTATTGCTTACAGCATGAGTCATTATTGTCAGTTACAACCCAATCTACAACAAAAAAAATTCTGCTAACCAGTACTACAGGTACTGGCAGAACTACTTTCATCCTGGAGCCTGGTATACAGACACGTGGGTATCAGTGTGAGAATTGTGAGAACGGGGAAATGGAACATTCTGAAGACTGTTTCTCCTCTAATCTTTGCAAGAAGTTCCTTCCTGCAGCAAAAGTCAGTTTTGGAAGGAGTGAAGGGACTGAATGGAAAACAGATAAAACCAGAAAGAATCTAAAATCCTCTGCCTGCTTTTGCTAGCAATGGCAGCAAGGTGAAAGGGAAGGAAGGTCCCCTACATGGTTTGGGCAGCCCCATGATGGAGCTGGTGACACCTGCATGCGGGGACAGAATGCACATTTCACTCCATAGATAGGTGAGCAGAGGTGTTGAAAGAGCCAGGAAGAAGAGACAGAAGTCACATGGAAAAGTAGGTTCAGTAGCCCATTTTTCCTTGAAGCAAATCTTATGCATGGCCATAAACTAAAACACAAGAAGTTTCACCTCAACATGAGGAAAAACTGGTGACAGAGCACTGGAACAGCTGCCCAGGGAGGGCACAAAGTCTCCTCCTTGGAGATATTCCAACCCCATCTGAACACATTCCTGTGTCACCTGCAGCAGGTGGCCCTGCCTTGGCATGGGAATCAGACTGGATGATCTGCAGAGGTTCCTTCCAACCCCAACTGTTCTGTCATTCTGTGATTAACATTTGCTTTTACATGTACAGGGGACACAAATATTTGCTTCTCATGCTACCTAACTTCCAGCACTTGAGAGGCTCTCAAGCTTTTGTCTCTTAGCCAAACACCTCACAGGCTGTTCTCACCTTGTGATTCCAGGAAATCTTGCTTCACTGCCAGATTCACCCTAAGTTCACACTGTCCTTTATTTGGGTTCCACCCCCAACCTTCTCTTTGAGTGCAACAAATGCAAAACTTTGTGAACACCTCCAGCTTCCTCTAAGCCTCTGCCTCACCCTTCCACCTACAAATGTGGTTCCCCAATTCCCCCCAGAACCCTCTCTGTTCTCACAGGCTCTTGGTGCCACCTCTGTCCTGTGGCCAGGGCTCTGGTTCACTGCATTTCTTGGAACTGCAGCTGCACAAAGCAGTGAGAGGTCAGGGGCTGCCAGCACCCAAACCACAGAGGCTGCACAGCTGCAGCCCAGGCAGAACCAGCACAGGCTCAGCTGGGTTCCAGCCCCAAGACAGCCGGGAGGAGGCAGCAGAGGTTCCTGGGCTCAAGGCTGGCTGCAGAGCTGAGCACAGGGACAGAGCTGAGAGGATCCTCTGCTAGAGCCCAGCACCTGGCAATCACCCATCATATGTTTCTGCCATCAAAAGGGACAAACTAAATAAATAAAACAAGAGGAAGTGAGGAACGGGAAAGGCAAGGGTGGAAGTCACAAACTACTTCCTACAAGCACCCTTCTTTCATGCCACAGGGAAAGCAGGGAAGACAAGGTTCCAGGGGTAAGAGCCAGGGTAGGAGACTCTAAATTCCCAGGTCACTCAACTGAAGAAGAAAAGCAAAAAAAACCCAGGAAAACCCTGGTAACCTTCTCTCTGCTATTGCACACTTCCTGGGAATGTTTCACGTATTTGTGTACTTTCCAGAAACTTCTATTCTCAGAATCCAGGACTTTCCATATAACCTGATCTGATATTAACCCAATCACCTCTCCCATCTTGTTTGCCCACTTGGCTGCCAATCAGCACACGACAAACACCAGGAAGCCAAGCTGGAAACCCAACTCCATGGCAATGGCCCTAGAAAATCCCTGCCAATATCCTACTTCCAAAACCAAGCCATCAAACCAGCCCACTGCTTCATGGGCAGGAATAGTAGGCACTATAGTAGGAAAGAGA